TTTTCCTAGTAAAATATAAAGAGTTGAGTGGTGACTCAAGACTTTTGCACAGTACTGTAAGTGCATCCGCAAACTGTAAATAAAAACAACTGCAAATTACATAAATGTGACTCGTCTTTGGCTTACATGATTACCGTGCATCTACAAAGTGCTTCTGCTATTTTCCAAAACATCGCACTTTTAGCAGTTAGATGAGGGGAGGTGAACACATCAGCCACTTATTAGTTGTTAAAGTAATGTGAAATTTAAAATAGCTCAGCACACTGTTCTCTGCTTTCTGCACACTGAAAATGCCAGGAGGTTATACAGCCTTCTCGGTCAAACACTATAAAATATCTGCAAAATACTACACCAACAAAAACTGCTCTGAAAACACCACCAAATTACTTTTTTTAACAATCCCAAAGATTTTCACTTTAAGTGAAGAAACAATGAATCACCTCTGAAACACTACACTTTATCTTTGGAAGCCATTAAGGCTCGTCTTTCGTCATATGGGTAATTTGTCGAACACATTTCTGGTTATGTTGTTTTTATTTTGAAGCACACTGAACCTGTGTGTTAGCCGTACTCTTTTTTTTTCAGTGGCTGACGAACAATAAATGAGTTTAAAAGGGGAATAAGTGCGCTCATCCTTCTGTTACCCTCCGGCAAAACGTAGAGCCTGGGTAGACTAGGATTTAACCCAATCATATGGCATGAAGGATGATTAATATGCTTGCTAATGTGAGGCGGCTTAAACATCTCTGGATATGAGATCAGGTAAACAGCAGTGAACACCGGCAACTGGAGGTGGGAAGTGCACAGTCCATCAATCATGGTTGACAGCTGGGACAGACGCAGGAACTATCATCATCATCAGATAGGAGTGGGTGCTACACTGCTTCAAATCACAGTGCTAATTAGTGCTATCTGCAAATGTACACTTATGTATAGAGAAACTCAAGAGAATTATTCTGAATTATTCTGTATTAACTAATGTTTAGCAAGTCCAAATAAACTGTTTTACACTTCTTTTGAGCTCAATACTGAGCACAGCACTCCTTTTAATTTGCTACAGTTAGAACTGATGCTTTCATAGTGGAGGTAATGTAACATCTTGAGTGGCTACTAGCAACAAAGCAGGAATGATGACCGACTTCAAACCAAAAAGCCAAAATCAGAGACAGTAGTCAGGACTATCTATTAATATACAGTAGTACTCTCTCAAGGTTTACTGTCCTCAACTAACAGGTATGAGAAGATAGCAGAAAAAGTAATAAACCCTCACCACTCAAATTATGAATGTCCTTGATTAGGGCTGTGCGATATGACCAAAATCTCATATCCCGATATAAGAATTCTATCGTCCCGATAACGATATAAATCACAAAACTGTAACATTTTCTGTAAATTCTGTGAATCTCGGGCAGCTTGACTTGCGTGAAGTGTTTCCAGCTGCGCGTCATGTACCTGGAGTTGAATGTTTTAACCGATGCATGAAACTATACATTTTTAGACATAAGTTGTAACGGCCGCCGTTTTCTTTGTGAGTATTTGTTACACGGCGTGCTGCGGGAAAAAGCCTGTTCTAATGTTTGAGTCTAAAGTTTATTTTTTAGCACCTGGCGGCTCTATTTTACTTCTCATCTGTAAATAATCTGCTCTTTCACGTGATTCAGTTTATTTTGAAAAGTCTCAACAGGATCTTGAGCTTTATTGTGAAAGGTTTATGTGGTACATAAACAAGCGGACATGCGATGGTGATTGTTACCGTCGTTGTTGCTAACCACAACGCATAAAAACAGGCGCTTGTCCGTCTGTAGTGTGGTTATATTAAATATAAGAGAAACATAGAACTTTAAGAAATTAATATAGCCACTACAGTGACCATCAAAACGATGAAAAAAATATTGCTGTAAACAGTTTATTTTGCAACACCACGAAACAAACGATAGACGTTTTTATATCGTCATCTGATATATATTGTTATATCGAACAGCCCTATCCTTGACTATATTCAGATTATTCCAGCCTCAGTAGGAGACCAGCCTCCACTTCATGAAAGCCACACAATTTGAACTAGAACAGATTACCACATGCCTTTTCCTAATTGGAGGCATACACAGTGTGTACTGGGCTACCTACACATCAAACCTACAGGAGCTGCCATAGAAGCCCAAGCCATGAAGCTCCCAGCACACAGTTTTTGTGCTGATGTTTGGAATTTCACAGCTACTGAGTTTTACACCAGGCTTATTACAGTTGAGGAAAATTAAACTACAAACTAAAACTGGATGAGAAAAAACATTGAAGTTTACTAAAATAAAAACAAAAACAAATGAACTCTAACTACCGTATTTTCCGCACTATAAGGCGCACTTAACATCCTTTAATTTTCTCAAAAATCGGCAGTGCGTCTTATAATCTGGTGCACCTTATCTATGAATTCTGGCTGTGTTTACTGACTGTAGCAATGGGAATTGCATTTACCTGTGTGTTCCGCCCGGAGTCTCTGCTTCTCACCTTCCGGTGTTACACTCTCAAGACTCCGGGCGGAACACACAGGTAAACTCAATTCCCATTGCTACACTGACCTCGAGATGATTTTATGTGGTACACAGGGCTCAAAAAATCTGTCAAAAAATGTTTTAGTAGGACTTTGCTAAGCTACGAAGCTGCACCGCTTGATGAATTGTCTGAGCGTTACGGCTACCGTAGTCAGGAGCCTTGCGGCTCATAGTAATCTGGGTCCAAAACTCCGTCCACGTCAGGTCCCAAACAAACACTGTGTAAATTCTTTCATCTTTAATAAAATGATCAGTGTTGCTGCTTTACCAGGTGTATCAATTAAGTTAAACATCCAGGCATCCATGAAAACAGAATTTATTAAATTAAACGGAGTTAGAAGTTAGCAGGAAGTTAGTAGATAGTTAGCTCGCTGGTTTTGCTAGTGACCTTAACATGGTATATCATGTTCTGACTGAGAGATTTCTGGAAAAAAACAAAACGTACAGCTCTGCTATCACTTCCAACATGAATGTAGAGAGAAAGCTACACAATAGTGATGTTTGTAGGTTTACTGAAGTTGGGCTAGATGGTAAATAATGCTGTGCTAGTGATCGCTAGTGACACCGCTATGTTAGCATACCAAAGCATAAAACTGAACCTGGAGAATGAACGCTAACCTTTTTCCACTTTTTTTGACAAATGCAATCGCCCGGAAAATTGCTGTAAACGGACCAAACTTCAGTAGGAAAGAACAACTGAGATAGTCCAGCCACAATATGAGGTTAGTCATTAATGTAAGATAAGATAACCTTTATTAGTCTCACACGTGGGAAATTTGTTACAGCAGAAAGTGGACAGTGCAAAGTTACATAGCAAAAAGTAGAAAAACACTGGAATAACATATACTGTTGTTCCTGCGTTTATAGAGCAGCTACCAGAGAATTCAACATTAATGAATTAATGGTATGGAAGTGGAGGAAGCAAGCGGAATGAGTTGAGTAAAGTTTGACTTTTCTGACTGATTTGTTTCGTTAAATGCGCTTTATAATGCGGTGCGCCTTATGTATGAACACAGACCCGTTTGTCGACAGTGCGCCTTATAATACCGTGTGCCTTATGGTCCCATAAATACGGTACAATGATTTTGCCAACTTGGAAAACTAACAAAATAAAAACAGAGGAAATATCATTAGATTGGAAGAAATGTCACCCAGTCACCTGATGCACTCTTTAAAGTGACCCATTCTTTCACAGATATGTGTAAAGACACACTGCAAGGCTATCTGCTCGATTTTACACACCTGAGGTAAGGTGGCTGAAAAAACTGAAACTGAGAGATTAAAAGGTGTGACCCAATACTTTTTTCCATATGGTATCCATATAGTATGTTGGCATTTGTGTAATTAATCTCACTGCCTGAAGGGAAGATAAACTTCAGTTTTTGGCCTGCTGTCATAGCAACATGAAGTAGTTACAAAAAACCCCCACTATTTCTTTGTGTTTATAGAGATAATTTGGCACCACAACTTTTGAAGTAGTGTATTTCATAAGAAAGCACATTTCAGGTCTGCAGCAGATATTCAGTACAGACCGAGCAGAGAGACACAAAAGTGTTATTGCCTAAACCTAAAAAAGTATTTTCTGTTTAAACCTAACAAATGAGTTTCTATATTCTAATCATAACTAGGTCATTTTAAATGTCACCAAGTGAAGTATTTTTTTAGTTATTGACATATTGAAAAACAATACAAATGTGTGATGTTTAGGACTTGAACTTGGGAGCAGCAAAACTATTCACTCCGCAAAAAATAGCACTTGAAAATCTAGTGTCTGGAGGCACAAACCAGTCGATTACAAGTCGTGACTATTTTCAAACTGTTGGGAGACTATGTTGTTATTTTAAGTGCAATAAGCAATTCTCTCTGCACTGTTCATGTTTGCTATTCATAGACAGGCTTTATGTACCTTTGAATTGCTTGAAATATTTATCCAAACATTCAAGTAAAAGTCCGGCCTACTAAATAACGAATAAACAGAAAACACAAAAGCCAGTGGCGCTCATCCACCTGACTGGATGGCCACGCCGGTCCTTCTGATCACAGCTGACTTCACTTCATTGAATTAACACACAGCTTTCTGGGCTACAGGCTCAGGGGCCATGTTGGAGCCTCACTGGTGAATATTAGATTGCACGCCTCCAGATCTCATTAAAGGAGGCAACAGGACAATGTCTGCATCTCAAACGAGACCAGAGGCCATCAAGCATTCTGGCTCCCTGTTGGATTTACTGATTTGATTGATACTGTGTGCGTGCATCAGAGAATAACAGAGGGCAAGATGTCATTTTTGGTAAATATAATTAAGGCATTTTTATAAACTACACAATTGGTGGAAAATTGGAATTTGGGAGTGTATAGCATGGGGTAAAGGGCGTACACTAAAGGCCCTGTCCATTTTCCATACAGATGAAATGACAGATCTGATGAAAAGCCTATTGGCCTGACACTTACAGTATCTTCAGTCAAAGACGTTCCTTCCTGTCTTCCACTTCCAGCTCACTGAAAAACAAATTTCACAGTGTCATTATAAAACAAAAATCTGCACTAACAGGAGATATGTAATCTGTGCTGACAAATACAGGGTAAGAGTAAAACCAATGTTTTTTAAATGGCTTGGGTAATCCCACCAGTATTTTTTTAAATGTAATGAAATGGGCCAAATGAAGGCATACAACTGAGGCTTCCCTGAAAATTAAATTAGTGGGTCACTGCAGGATTTTTTTAATAAAGATGTCCAGTATTAGCCACAGACTATTAGATAGTTTTAAATAAATACTACTTGTGCCCGAAGGCGGAGGTTTTATGGTGGTTAATTGCTAGTAGCCGCTAATTAATGTAGTTCATACTGTTAAATCTTTCAGTGTCCACTATTAACTTCAGTGAATAAGCTTAGAGGTGGTATGTTATGTCAGGCAATACGAGGAAATTAAAATACATGCTTTCAAATCCATCCTAACCACACTGTAGGACAAAGACAAGCTTTTTCCTCTTTCACTAAATGTAATATATGTATAAACATAACATACACACATTTTTGTCAAACAGTATTTATATTTAAATTAACAGAAAGACATAACAGCTGCAGATGACTCAACAAAATTTAGTAAACATGGCTTGTAAACTTTCATTTTTAGCAGATTAGACCAGAGCGTATCCTGAATACGATGCTTTTAAATTATTATTATAATACCTCTAATTTCCTCCTACAGCAGTTTCCATTCTAAAATAAATGTATTTTTTTTTTCATCCCAATTCTCATTTTGTCCTTCAGTTCCATAAGAAATAATTGGGTTTACCCTAATTTTGAACTCAATTAGCTTGGGTTTCAATCTTTTTTTTTCTCAAATGTTGTGAAACTGATTTGTATCTTAACTTCAAACCTCTGTTTTAAAATGTTAATACATCTTACAATAATTGGTGACAGGCATCGGTGGTCTCATTTACAGGAAGCAGATAGCACATTGTGTAGCAGTGCAGCAGTAGCAAACAACACATGCTGGTACCCTTAAATAGGTTCAAAGGACAAACAAGCAATAGAAATCGTAACAAAAAGAAACCATAACTATTCATACCTTTCTCTACAGTTCTCAAAAATGAGAGTCTGACTACACTGGATACTCGTCACTGGATCTTTGAGGCTTATAATAAAAAGAGATGAGAGGAACATGTTTATAGAACAGGTGCTTGTGTTTGATCCAGCCAAACATGCAAAACCAACACGGTATGTCAAACAAGAGGATAACTTGAGATTGTAGGAGGTACTTCCATGTGATATGCAGCCACTTGGTTATGTAGGTGGTCTCAATTTAATCCTTTTAATTTCATTTTCCAGAACCCCCACAAGCCCAGAATGTACAAGATCAAAGCTGTACTGTACGCTGGCGTCATAGTGCTTCTTAACTGGCCCTGCAAGGATGGTGCTATTAAAGAGAAACTTGGGGATTGTTTTTTTTTTCAGTCAGGGAGCAGCGACCCTTAAGAAAGTTGAAGCATTGCCTAAAGGAAACATTCGTTTTGTACAAGGGTGGCAATATTGCACCATATCCAAAGGTGTAAAAACTCCATGCCATTAACAGGACTGGTAGAAAAAAATAACAGCCTGGTCTGGTGGCAAAATGTGGAAGCACCTTCAGCATTTCTTGCATTTTCTTCCTTTGGCTTTTTTTTTTTCAATTTGGAAATAGACATGTCCAATAAAGCAAATCTACAGGTTGAATATTATCACCTCCAGAAACTTGTGAGAGATTATGTTGAATGTAATGAAGTAAGCTTTGTGAATGTAAAACAAGCTGCCAAATATATCCAACTTAAGTAACTGGTACATATCAGCCACTAATTAGCAGCTGATATTTACCAGTAGACAGCAGGAGGGCTTTGAAAGCCAACTCTGTGCTTTTACTGAAAAGGTGTTTCATGAATGTGTAACAGACATGTGGGCTTGAAAAACACCTCACCATGTACCCACTGGGATACTTGGTCCCAAAATAGACTTCAAATGCCTGGGGAAACCAGTCAGCCTCACTGGCATTAGCATCCAGTAATCTAAGTGGAGAGGGCCTAAAGAAATGTCTATTTTTTATAGTGGAGAGGTCAAGAATAGGCCTTTTACAGTGAGTAATGTGCCTGAGGGTTCTGCTGCCAAATGTTAACAAAGAATGCGTAATTAATATCACTTAAATCATATCCTATCAAGTCAATGTCCTAATAATCAACATAGACAACTGCAGTTATAATCATTACCACAAAAGAAACTGATACAACAGAAGTAAACAAATGTAGCAGACAAGCTATGACTCAAGAAGACTTGATACACGTCACCAAAATGATTGGCCGAGTTTCTAAAGTACAGCGAGTAATGGCAGCCCTCTTGAAGCTAAAACAAATTTGGCATGATGGGACCTTTCATGTTTCATTATCCTAAAGGGGAAAAAAATCCTAAACTTCAGATCTGTGTGTTTTAGTCTATTTCACAGCTTTCAAAGCTATTGCACCATGCAGCTATCCCAACTTTCACTCTGTGCTCTCTAGTCAAAGGACCCATCTCATGTTGTCCTGCCGCCACACTAATATCCACAGCAAACACCCATCCTGGGAGTCTGCGGGAGGGGAGTTCAAACATTTTTATCATGGCAGTTTCACTGCTTGTCTGTGGGCCAAAGCCTTGTGTCAAAGTGTCAGTGTCTTGATGTTACGTATGTCCTCAACATTGGCAAAAAACAATGCTGTCCGAAGAGTGTAGAAGCCTATTTAGAGTATATCGATGGTATTCTTCAGAAATTGCTCATGTTGGTGTCAGTTTCAGTAAACATCCGTGTTATTAGAACTGGAGACCAGTGCTGACATTTTCAAGCAAATTTATGCTAATTTCCTGGGGTTTTCCCCACACAGCTGGATCTGGAGTTTACAGAAAAACAGGAAAATATCCAGTGGGCGCACATTTCTCTGGGTGAAAATGCCTTGTTGATCCATGACTAGACTGATGGAGACTACATAGGAAGCTGATAAGAGAGCAAAAGCAGCTCAAATGAGCAAGCCAAGGTATGCAGAAGACGATCTCTGAAAGCACAACATCCTGGACCTTGAAACAGATAGTCTACAGCAGCAGAAGACCACATTGGGTGCCACTTCTGTCAGCTGAAATTGAGGCTTTTGTCACGGTGGGGATCGCTGGTGTGTTTGAGGTGTGGACCAAAAATGCAGACACGGGAGAAAAACAAATTATAACAGAAAGTGAGCCGTTTATTTGAGCTGATGTCAAAACAAAAAAATAAGGCAAGGCAAACTGGAGAAAAACTAACCTGAAACCTAAACTGGCCAAAACTAAAACATGACATACACAGAAAATGAACGTGAACAGGCGCTTGAGGAGAGCCAAAACTCACAGAAACATGCAACCAGACAAACTAACACCGAATAAAGGACTTAAATACACAGAAGGCTAATGAGAGGATGGGGAACAGGTGGGAATACAGCTGGGAAAAATCAGACCTAACAAGACAAGGGGAAGCAAAACGAGACCCACTGCACACAGGACAGGGCCTTTCACAATAAAACAGGAAACGGCATTGAACGTAGACATGACAACACAAGCTTGACATAGAGACATGAAATACCTGAGGAGACATGGAACACATGTAGAGACTAAAGCACTGGCATAACAGAAAGTAAAACACAGAGGACAAGACAGACTATACAGAGGACAGGAAAAGACTCATAAATCACAGAGACATGGATGAGACAAAACCTAGAATAAAACTCAACTAAACCGTAACTAAATAATACCACAAGAACTTCTAACATAAGACAATACAAAATACAAAACAAGCCCAAAATGCTGCGTTACAGACCCAGCCCCTGACAGCTTTTTTTTTTATTGCAACATTCGGATGGTAGGTTCATACTTTGTTAGAAACAACATGAAAGCATGGCTCCACACCATCACACCACCAATCAACTGATTGATATGTGTAATGGTGGACCATGTCTATCCCTTGATGACCACTGTATAACCATTTCCTGATGGTTGTTTCCTGCTTGATAACAAACCATGTCACTAAACTCAAATAATATCAACATGGTTTCTTGAACATGACAATGAGTTCAGTGTAGGTAAATGGCTTCCACAGATCTGTACCATGGATGTAAATCCGCAACAACTGTATGATGCTATCATATCTATATGGACCAGAATCACTAAGCATAGTTTCCAGGACCTAGTTGAATTTAAGCACCAAAAAGTAAAGCAGTTTTGATGTCAAGCCGGAGTCTGACCTGGTTTTAATGAATTGGGTGATGAGTGTATATTTACGAGTGTATTCTAGACCACAGAATAATGTAAAACTGAACCAAGGATGACCTGAAACCATCCAAATATCCTAAATAAAGAGACAGACCTCTTAAGTTAAATACCTTTAATCTAACTCGAGTAATTTAACAATGCTATTCCTCAAAGTGAGCGAGCAATACAGGCCCACTGGATGTAAGCTAGTTTTCATAGCTACTAAAATAAATACATAAACCAACCAGAAACTTTTAGGACTAGTCTAACCGCACAGATGAATATTGGAATTAAAATGTGTTTCTTGTGTTCCTCAATTTAGGAAACCTGCATTTTTTTTTTGCAGAAATAGAATTAATCTTTTCAAGCCTTCATACCTACCAACACTACCAACCCATACAACAATGCATTTGATTCATAAAGTATTCTGAGTACTCCACTTTCTGCTAAACTGTGGTCAGTGTGTTCCATTTAAAAATGTCAATATATATTTTCATCATTTTTGCCAGTGTAGACTTGATAACTACAATGGCCAAATGAAAATATGCCGCCTTACATTTTTCAAGACGTATTAAAAATGTTGAAATTTACACACGAAAAATAATTATTCTGTTAATAATGTAAAACTTCAAACATTCAGACCTTTGAGCCTCGTTTCTTCCCTGGCAGCAATTACAGCTCAGAGGAACTTTCTCGAATTCTTCCCAGCAGACCCTCTCAA